ATATGTATATATATATACAGCCACAGTGTAAAAATGTAGAGCGACCATAACCCAAGGGGCAGGCGGAGCAGGCTGAGAGCTGCCCCTGGCCACCATGCTGTGTGGCCCTCCCTCCTGAGAGCCTGGACAGGGCAGAGGCGCGTTGGAGCCCTCTGGGAGTAGGGCAGTAGCCATCCCTGGCCATGGTGGCCTCGGGAGCTTCCAGGAAGGGGGTGGGCATAGGAATTCAGGGGCATGTGGCTATGACCCCAAGGCGGCTGGGTGGGCTTTCTGGTCCATGTCATCTTCCGATTTAAGGAAAGTGCCAGCATTTCGATGGTTGACTGAAGTCTAAACAACTCACGTGCCCTGGTTTTGAACCAGGAAATCTGGGGTCTTGGCCATCTTATCAAGGCAAGAAGTATTGGCTTTAGGGGGTCCTCAGAAACCCCCCTCCTCTGCAGCTTCTTAAAGGGGCAACCCAAGCCCCTATTTTTAAGCCAAACCACTGGCCTGAGGCACACAGACACACGTGGGCTGGGGAAGGTGGATGTCAAGTGTGAACATCAAGACAGTTTTACAAAAAGGCTTTGTGTTGTTCAGTGTGCCCCTCGTGTGAAGACCTCTGGGGTAAATGTCCAAAATTTGAGAGGACGTCAAGAACCTGGCAGCTTTCCTTCTGCTTGGGAATGGGAGCGGTGCAATCAGCCTGTTTCCTTTCTCACCAGGGCTCCCGGGAAGCTCAGCATCCACTTGCCCTTCCCCTGAGCTTGGGTATAATTATTAGCCCATCTGTCTCCATCCATTGGCTCTTGCTTTTTTGCCCTTATTTTTTCAAGCCTGTGATGCACACTTCCTGTGGCCGGATGTCCCTCAGGTTCTTTCTGGACAAAGACACTAGGTGGGGAGGGGTCAGGGCAGGAGCAGTGGAGGATGCCTGCCCTCACCTGGGCTACTGTCGTGTTTCAGCCAGGACCGGACTGGATTGAACGGGACGGCTTCCATCTCACACAGGCAGTTCTCCGGGCCCAGCGCGATAGCCGTGTTGGGTAAAGGGAAGCAGCACTCACCCAGGTCCTCCACGTGGGTGGGCTCTGGTGGCTCTGGCTCACCCTGAGGGAAAGGGGAGTGGTGGGTGGTCCATCACAACAGTTCTCATGCCCTACTACCCCTGCCTCGCCCCCACCCCCTGCTGAAAGGCAGACTTCGCCCTGCCTTCTTCTCAGCAACTCCACCTGTCATCTTCCAAACCTCCAGGGAACCCCCCCCCTCCGACGTCCCAGGCAGCTTGTGGTATCCCCATTCGCTCCCCTCTTGGCTCAGATTCTATTTGGCGAGAAGGAGCTTCCTCTACTCTGAAGCCAAGAGACTCTGGGTACCAAGTCCCCACCCACAGCAGAGCCAAGTCCCCGCCCACTGCAGGGCCAAATCCCTGCCCAGAGAGAGTGAAGCATCAGAGATGGGCCAGCAGTGAGCCTGGCCTTGGTCAGGTCCCTGCCCTTTGCTGGGCCTTGGTCTCCACATCCACAAACTGAGAGCTAAACCAGGTCCTGCAGGCAGAGAGCCCCGCCCCAGACTCTGCCCAGGGAGCGAGTGCTGGCGCAGGTGACTGCAATCCCCTACACCCCCAGCTCCCACATGCTTGGGGAAAGCTGCCTGAATGCCCCTCTGAGACAGGGGTCCCCTGACTCAGTGACTTGCTGAGTCCTATGTGAAAGGTGCCCCAGATTTACCAGACTGGGCCCCAGCTGGGCCCGGAAACTGTGCACCCTGACATCCTGTGTGGGGTGCAGGGAGATAAATGCAGACAGGGGCTGGGGGCAGGCTGTAGAGGCTGAAAGCTATCAGCTTCCTGGAGACCGGGTAGCGGGGGTGGAGGCAGGGATGGGGGTGTAAGTGGGGTCCACACTCCTTCACTTCCCAGAAGCCTTCCCTGAGCTGAGGAAAGGTGCCCGGGGCAGCAACCAAGCCCTAATCGCCCGGGAGTGCAAGAAACAGGTTCTTTGAGCACAGGGACACTATATCCCCACCTGGCCAGATCTTCCCTGCCTTTCTCTGACAGGAAGCACTTGACCTGCGATCATCAGCCCAGAGCTGCCCACTCCCCACCCTGCAGCTACAGGGTCAGCCTGAGTCCTTCCTGCTCCTCAGACTGCTAGCCACAGGTCAGTACACAGGGGTCAGTCCCAGGCGGCCTCTCTGCTCGGCCATCTTCAGTGTGGGTATCATCCCTAAGGCCCCGAGATGTGCAGGGAATGCCCCTGGTATACCTCCCACACGCTCCCTGGCTGCAGGGCCAACCTGGCTGGGATGACCAACCCCTACAGGGATGAGAAGCCCCCAAGGAGCAGGCAGGACCTCTGGGAGGTCAGGTTGGCACCTGGGTTGAGCCCATTGCTCTGTGGCCCTGAGGAGATCACTCATCCTCTCTGAGCCCCACTCCTCCGGCAGAACAGCAGGAGAGGAAGGCCCGCACCAGGCTGGGGGACTGGAAGAAGCATGTCCTGTCAGGCGCCCCCAGGGCTGCACACCTTGCTGTCTTTGGGGCCAGGTGGGCAGGCTGTGAGGTCCTCGAGACTCAGATCGTCACCCAGCAGGATGGATGAGGACCGGTCAGAGTTCAGGGAGAAGGCCTCTGTCTCAGCCAGCTGCACCTGTGGGGAGATGCGGAGCCTCGGGTCACGCCGGGATGGGGGAGACCTCGACCTCTGGAGGTCATAGAGGGGAGGCTTGGATCCACGCGGGGCCACCTGCCAGCTGTGGGGAAGCCAGCTACCTGGCGCCTCCCAGGGACTTTGACCCCGCAGTCACTCTGCTTGACCCCAGACCAAGTGCCCTTGGAGGCGGGCCAGGGTCTGACTCCTCTTGGCCCCATGAAGGCTCGCTGGCACAAGCAAGAGTAGCTGAACCCCAAAGTCAAGCCCATTCCCTTCTAGTCGATTCTGAGCCATAGCAACCCTACGGGACAGGTCACAGCCCCAGGGTCATCAAGGCGGTCATTTTCACGGCCACAGCTGTCTCCCCGGGGCGCAGCTGGTAGGTTCGAACCACCAACCTGGGCTCTGGGAGATTGGAAACACCTGTAACGAGGGCCAGACCCACAAGCCCGTCCTTGAAGATTTCCTGACCCTGCTCTGAGCGGGGCCGTCTGGGCTGGCCCCACAGTTACTGGGGGCCTGGAACAACCCTGGGGAGGGCGCTCAGGGCCGGCAGCCCTGCATGGGCAGTGCCCGGCTAGAGGCCGGAAGGCCCTGGGAAGAGCAGGACCCTTCACAGGGCAGCTATGCTGAGGGCTAGGCTGGCTGCCAAGCCCCACGCCCCAGGTCTGAGTGCTTGCCGTGCTTGCAGGCACAGGCTGGGTCCCCCTGGCACAGCTCCGGGGCGCTGCCACAGCGCAGCATCTTGCAGACAGGCAGGAAGCTGGGGTTCCGGATGGGGGCGGCGCTGGCCTGCCTAGAAGCCAGCCTCACCTGTCCGTTCCCTTGGGTGGCCCCCACCCCACGGGCGCCCAACCCCACTACCTCCTGCTTGTCGTGGTAGCACTTGTCGCAGCTGGAGGGCGAGGAATAGTGGTGGTAGACGGAGCCGGACAGGTTGTCGATAATGGTCAGCTCCCCGTCCAAGGAGTCCTTGATGATTAAAGAGACGCTGTCCAGCCACAGGTTCTCCTAGGCGCACGGGGACGGGGCGTGGACAGGCGGGATTATCGGGCCGGTCCGGGGCGTTGGGGCAGGCGAGCACCGCTGCCCTCCTGGTTCTCTGGGCACGTGGCCTGGGCCCGACCCCTCGCTATGGGGTCTCCCCTCCTGTGGAGCCGGACAGGGGGTCTCCCCAGAAGCCTTTCCAGCCCAGCACACCCTCCCGCCCCGCAGAGACCTCCATCCCTCACCTGGGCTGGCGAGAAGCAGCGGCGGCGCACACGGCCCTCAGGGTCCGGCCCACTGCCCGGCCCCCGGCTGGGTGCCCCAGGGGAGGCTGTGGGCGGGCGCGAGCCAGGGCCCAGGCCGTGGGCCATCTCCAGCTCGATCTCGGCGTCCATCTCGGCGTCCTCCTGCGCCTCCTTGTTGCTGTCGTCCAGGTGCTTCATGAGCACGGCCACCACCACGTTGATGAGCACGAACTGGGCCGTGAGCACGAAGCTGACGAAGTACAGCGGCGACACGAACTGCAGGCTGCTCAGGCAGCTGCGCTCGTCCTGCGTGCAGTCCCGCAGCGTGTCCTGGGCGGGGGCGGCAGTGAGCGGGGCGCGGAGACCCGGCCCGCCAGCCGGCCGCTGCACCGTCGCGGGTACGTGCGCACGCACACAGACCCGGGCAGCGCCAGACACAACCCCCTAAACCTCTGGGCTCCTTTCTGGCCTGAGGCTCCATCGACACCCCGGGGTGGCCCAGTCGTGCCCTCCCCTCCACCGCGGTGGCACACCTCACCCCCACAGGGTAGCAGTCTGGGATGCACCCTCCTGGGGCCCCGGGGGCTGGAGGGTGCGCCAAGCCACGTGGACCAGAGTTCTCCCTGCCCCTTCTCTACATTTCACACCCAGCCTCTAGCCCCAGCAGGGTTGGCAGGCCTCCCCCTTTCCTCTACTGGGCTTTCCCCACCTCTGCGGGCACCTTGTCCTCCCAGTCCTCCCCCAGGGACGGTGGGCATGGTGGGTCACGTCATAGAGAGGAGGGGCTGTGCCGTGGGTGCAGGAGGCCGCTGGCCTGGGTTCCAATCCTGCCTGGCCCCTACGGGCCTGGGCAGTGGTGAGAGGCAGGGTGCCTGCCTGGCTGCACTGTGGGGGCCTGGCAGGCCCTGTTCTAAGGCCCTCCCTCTTGGACGGAGGGTCCAGGGACCCTACATTTCCTCCTCCTGCCTGGTCCCGGTACCTTCATGATCCCGTTCCAGTTGTCACCGGTGGAGACCTGGAAGAGCGTGAGGAAGGCCATGCCGAAATTCTCGAAGGTGGCGTGCCGGCTCATGCCCTCACACGGGTTATCGTCATTGCAGACTGCAGGGGAGAGGGGGTCAGCCCTGTCCCCAGCTCCAAAACCTCAAGCTACCAGAGGTGCGTGTGGAGATGAGCCCAGGGCACAGATGGAGAAACTGGGACTCATTCAGACTCAGGTATGCATCCATTTCTGAGAAGATGCGGGGGCTGTGCTGGCCCCCTGAGGGACCCCTGCTTTCCAGAGCTGACCCTGTGCCCGGTGAGCTCAGCGTGGGATGTCGTCTTCCTGCCCCTGGCCTCTGCATGCTGGGCCAGTGGGGTGCCAGACAAGACTGGTTCTCGGGGGCGTCCACTGCAGGGGGCGTCCACTGCTGGCTTTTCTTAGTGCCCTACAGCTGCCCGTCCCCACTCCCCGGGGGCCCTGCGGAGGGGGAAGCTGCCTAATACAAAAATCCCAGTGTGACTGGGGGTGGTCTTAGACTCCCCCTTCCCCAGGACCCTTCCCCTTCACTCACTCAGCTTCCCAAAGAGCTCCACGCCCAGCGCAGCGTAGATGAAGAAGAGCAACATGAACAGGAGGCCCAGGTTGCCCACCTGTGGAGAGAATCAGGGGGGGCGGGGGGCGCGAGCTGAGACCCAGCCAGCTCTACCTGGAGGGGCCCAGAATGATGCCGCCCACCCAGTACTTCCTGCCATCCACACAATCACAATGCCTCCCTTCATCCCATCCCTCAGGTGGAGAAGGTGAGGCCTGAGAGTCAGCCACTAGCACAGCAGGGACTCAGGAGGTGAGGCTCAAGGCCAGCAGGCTCAGGCACCCACGCAAGGGTGGTTATGCTGCGCCTCTGCCCAGGGTGGGTGTGAAGTTCACAAGTGAGCACCAGAGAGGAGGACAATTCAGGCCATCTCCTCCAGGAAGCCCACCCTGATTCCTCCAGGTAAACACAGACAGACCCAACTCACAGTGTGATGTGGCTAGGGTGTCCCTACCAGAGGCCTCAACTGGCCTGGGGCGGGGGAGGTGGGGCAACTTTAAGAGCAGGAACGCAAACCAGAAATAAAACCTAACCGCCACAGACGCCTGATCGTTGATAAAGGGCTGAAGCACATTCGGGGGGAAGAGTGAGTCTTCTCAACCAATGGCTCTTGATACGTGAAAGAATGAAACAGAGCCCATACTTCACACCACACACAAAAAACAAACATATACCAAAAAACAAATGCAGGGTGGACTAAAGACTTAAATAGAAACCTTAGAACTATAAGGATCGCCCGTGAAAAACTAGGACCCAACTTACAGCCCTTAAGACATAATAAAAGCAGAACATAATGAAAAACAAACTACAGAAGCTAAGGACTGGGACCCCTTAAAAGACATAACATCAAAAAAATAAACAAAACTACATCTCATCAAAAGAGTAAAAACAAAGGAAGGTAAAAAAGGAACCCATAGATTGGTGGGGAGGGAAATCGGCAATGATACGTTGAATAAAGGGTTGATCTCAAAAACCTATAGCATGCTGCCAGCACCTCAATAGGCAACTCACGGAGAATCAAGTTTAAAAATGGGCAGAATACATGAACAGAATTCACCAGAGATGGCACCCAGGCTGCCAACTGCCATGGGACGCAATGCTCACATCACCGCTTGTAAGAGAAATACACATGACAACAACGATGAGAAGCCCCCTCACAGCAGTACTGGCAACAGAACAAGGAAATGCCAAGCGGCGGAGAGGGCGTGGCGAGATGCGTGGGGCTGCCGGAGGGTGCGGCCCCTGTGAAGAACAGGATGTCGCCCCCATAAACAAATAGGCGCAGAAATACCATACGTAGAAATACCATACGACCGACCTGCCATCACTCCACTCGCTATCTCTCCCAAAGAAACTATGAAGAAAACGTGACCAGATCTACGCACATCCACGTCGACCGCAGCGCTAAAAGGGATGAACTGACGGTACTGCAGATGCACGTCTTGGGAGAGGCGCAGCCAGCAAGACCCTGAGAGGCTTCGTCTGACACCCCTCGGACCTATTGTCAGGAGGACATCCTGCTCGGTAAAGTGGCGGGGCAGCAGAAAAGAAAAGACGGAGGCCCTTAATGAGACAGACTGACCCGTGGTCGCAACAATGGGCTCAAGCACAGGAACAATGGCGAGGGGGGTGCAGGACCGGGGAGTGTTCTGTTCTGTTGGGCAGATAGGTCGCTACGGGTCAGGAACAACCTGGTGTCAGGTGACAACAGCAGCAGACACAAGGGGACACTCTGCGTGCCCCTTGGGGGCAGAAACACGGGGGTGAAACTGTCACGCGCCTATGGCACAGAT